AACCACTGACCCTGGGGCCACATCTTTCAAAATTTTGGAAAAATTATTTCATCATGCTGTTGATTAATACAAAAGTGCAGATTTCAAAACATTAAATTATTTCAAACTATGTTTATCCCCTCTCCCCCCAAAGTACCTCTGTCCCAGGGGCCAGGAAATTAACCATTTTTGGAAGAAGGAGGTTTTTTTCTCATAAATATATACTAAGATCATTTGCATTATACCAAACAACAAAGGTAAAGATTTTCAAAGAATTCATGCATTTTCACTATATAAACATTAGAGCCCAACCCTAACACAAAAAAGCCTTAGCCCAGGGACCCTGAAATTCAAAAATCTAAAGAGGCATCCTTCCTCCTCCTCCTCCTCAAAACTATGTAAATAGTTCATTGGTTAAATACTCAGGTGCAGAAAAGAAGTTTTAAAGAATTTATTCATTTTCACTATATAATCAATAAAGCCCTGCCCTTACACCAGAACTCCCTACCCAGGGGCCATGAAATTCACAATTTTTGTAGAAGTAGCCTTCTTCAACATAACTATGTACTTGGTTAGTTTATTTAATACTCAGGAGCAAAGAAGAAGATTTTCAAAGAAATAATTCATTTTTTACTATATAATCTATATAGCCCTGCCCTAGCACTAGAACCCCTGACCCTGGGGCCATGAAATTCACAATTTTGAAAGAGGCAGCTTTATTTAACATAGCTATGCACTTGGTTAGTTTATTTAATGCCCATGAACAGAGAAGAAGAATTTCAAAGAGTTTATGCATTTTCACTATATAACCTGTTTAGCCCCGCCCTAGCACTAGAATCCCTGACCCTGGGGCCATTAAATTCACAATTTGAGAAGAGGCAGTCTTATTCAACATAACTATGCACTTGGTTAGTTTATTTAATGCCCACAAACAGAAAAGAAGAATTTCAAAGAGTTTATGCATTTTCACTATATAACCTGTTTAGCCCCGCCCTAGCAATAGAACCCCTGACCCTGGAGCCATTAAATTCACAATTTGGGAAGAGGCAGTCTTATTCAACTTACCTATGCACTTTGTTGGTTTATTTAATGCCCAGGAGCAGAAAAGAAGAATTTCAAAGAAATAATGCATTTTCACTATATAACCTGTTTAGCCCCGCCCTAGCACTAGAACCCCTGACCCTGGGGCCATGAATTTCACAATTTTGGTAGAGGACTCCATGCTGATTACAATCATACCAACAGTTTGACTGCTTGATGTCCAGGAGTAAAGAAGATTTTTAAAGATTGCACTAATTTTAATAGTTTTTGCCCCACCCCAAGGCCCCAGGGGGGGCAGGGACCATGAAATTCACAATTTTTGTTTCCCCTCACCCATAGATGCTTTATGCCAAATTTGGTTGAAATTGGTTCAGTGCTTTCAGAGAAGAAACTCAAATGTTAACGCACGACGAACGACGACGGACGAAAACAGATAGCAATAGGTCACCTGAGTTTACTCAGGTGACCTAAAAATGTATATACAAAGCCAATTAAAAGTGACCTTAGACCCCTCCCTAAGACTGCAGATAACTCGTTGAAAATGTGATTTATGTGAAATTGGTAGTAAAAGTCATAGGTATGAAGCTTTGAAAGTGAAAAACTAACTCCCCCCTCCCCCCCCCCCACACACACAAACACACGCTTTTTAAGCTTGTCAAGAAATTTCCAGGTTGGAAAATTGTTTTTTTCGATGAGGGTTCCCCACCCCTGAAAATTTTCCTGGATCAGTGCCTGCATTAATTATAAATAATATGACGTACCGGTAATCCCTCGTAAGATTTGTACATGATTCTTGTTACCCGAATTCATGCGCGAATCTAGAGGGGTGGTCGGGGGGGGGGGGGGACCCCCTCCCCTGGAATTTGCAAGATTATTAAATGTATATACTGGAGCAAGAAAAAAGTTACCTTGGACCCCCCTTGGGAAACACAGACCCCCCCCCCTTCCCGGTAAACACGAATTTGTGTTAAAGGGTATGAAAAGTGAAAGATTTCAGTTAATAACCCCCCCCCCCCCCCCCCCAACCACCACCACCACGAAATAGGTTTTTGACGTTTGAGCGAGTTAAGTTTTTTTGGGGGGGCTTGTTAAGAAATTTCTTGGTTGGATTTTTCTGGACTGGGTGGAGCCCCCCCCCCCCCCCCCTGAAAATAATTTCTGAATATGCGGATTTATGTTATCAGTTTCAAAATGTAAGTATTCAATATTTCCATATAAGTTTTACTTGACAAGTATTTTAATTAAATCACTGCTCCCGATATAACAATCACATGACTAAGAAATACGTGAAAACAGGGGGGTTCCCTATTGTACTGCAGTAGACTTAAAAAAAAAAACTCTTTTACAGATTAGTTATATTTGAGCAGACCTTTACGCATCCGACTTTGAATTCGAACAGGATACTAGTATATGAAATTAATGAAAACTAAAAGGGTAAAAAAGTAATTTACATGTTGAGCAGCTTATTAACGCATCCGAATTTTTAATTATTAAATATCTCCATGGTCAAATCTGTATCACATTCTGTATACATATCTAGCCGAGACCCCCAATATTAAATTTCAAAGATAATGTAACCGTTGTACATAAAATATTTACATTGCTTGAAGGAGAACGGACTCTGTGTGAATAGACTGATAGGGTGAACAGACCCCAATACCATATATGTATGAGTCCGAGGAAGTAATATTGTTCGAGGGTTGATATGGGTTGTGATATAAATTTTGACACATATTATTCTTTTGATCTTAAATTTGAAAATACATATACATGTATATAATCATGAATATTTGTACTTTTGATAATTAAGCATCTGCTTGCTTGAGTTTCTGTTTCGCATCAATTCATTTATATGCAATTCATTTTTTAAATGTGTTATAAAAAATAAAAGAATTAGACATTTTTACAATGATATATTTGGGATATTTTATGTTTCAAACAGTTGACAATAAGAAAGGTCCAAGGTGAAAGTGGTTATCCTTCCTACTTTCTTGGTTTTGAAGAATAAGTTATATTTTTTTGCCAACCTGACCCCCTTTATTTAAAACGACCTGTTGATAAAATTGAGAGCAAGTTGTCATCTAAAGAAGATACAGAGACTATTTTTTAAAATCATAATTATTACTTAGGAATGAAATTAATAAAAAAAAAAATTCATTTTAATCCCTGGTGAAAATAGCGTTTTTTCGAGAGAGAAAAAAAATATATAACATGCATACTCGTGACGGTAGCAATTTTTTTTATGTCCTAATGCATTGTACGGTTGCCTCTCGTAAATTATATATATGTAGAATTGATTATGTGTTCGTTAATTTATTCAATAAAAACAAAATAACACCTTTGGCTTAAACCTTTTAAATCTGAAGTCCCCCACTCTAGATCGGCGCATATACATGTACAGAAGGTTCAATGATTTGTCACATATCATGAGGTCTAGGTTCTTGAAATGTTTTCAACTATAAATATAGAGGAATGTCAAATTGGTGTGCTCCTTTTTTTTTTATTTAGCCAATTTAAAATTTGTTATGTTGGCGATGCAGATGTCATGAAATTATTTGCATTTTAATCGCCAAACATTTAATTTCAATTGATTTATTAGACCTTTCTGCTTGTAGTTTTATCCGTTGTAGGATGTTTCACGAGTAATCTCCCTTAGATTACATAGTGACCATGGCGACGAGGCATTGGGATCGAGTTGTAAACAGGAATTCACACAAAGAAATACAAAAAGAGTATACATTAATTTTTTGAAAATATTATAAATATATATAATAAATTGAATCCAAATCATGTCAAGAAAAAGTCTTGGGTCTGAACCAGGGTACGGGTAAAAAGAAGTCGACAATACTACATGCTGTAATATTTTGTAAAGCACATGGTTTTCGTTTTCCTTTTTCCTACCACAACACAAAATCCAATATATTTCAAACTAAACAATTCATTTTGATATATTTTTAAAGTAAAAAGCACAAAAATTATTATTTTTGGTATTATCATGAGATATTCCCGAAAATCCGCTGTGGTGGTCTGTTTTCAGAGGATTGATATGGAAAAAAAGTTAAGTTTTCGATGTGGTCACACGTGACAAACAAAATAAAAATATGCCCTATGTATTTACTTTTTTGTCCTCTTTTTAATGAAATAAATTTTATTTTGTTTGTAGGGTGTGGCCAAGGTCAAATTTGGACTTAAAGATGTAAAAAAAAAAAAATGGTTGATTTTGCTAAAAATCAGCAAAATGCACGTGTTAAGACGTTTACTGTTCAATTATGACGCCATTAAATGAAAAATATGACGTGAACCCTTTGAGCTCAAGACTAGTAGATAATATATTCATCATTGTTTTTTCTCTTTTACTTCAGTTAAAATTTCCTAAAAAATGTAGGCCGATTTTGCACCTTCGTGGCTTTACTTCTTTGATTCCTCGAAGGTATATAATTTTTTGCTTGTTTTCATTATCTAAACCACGCATTAGGGACAAAAAACAGCATCCAGAATCTAAATCCATTTCGACACATCTGTGCTTAAATTATTTTTTTAATCGTATTTTGGCTAAAAGGAAGTAGGGAAAACTGATTGCCTGGCTCACCTCTACTAATTTGACAAAATTCTTTATTTCGTTGCATGTCTTACCATGTGTAAAATCAGAGGTATTTCAAAATTTCAACTCAACAAGTTGTTTTCAGCCGTTTATACATGTACCTCGAAATAGCAAAATCATTTATCGGAAGCCTACAAGAAAATACACAGAGAGATGAAAATCGACCGCGAGTTGAACGCACCCTATCGAAACTCGAACACAGCGATATAGAGGCGAACATGTCTATAATGATAACAATGAATGACCTGACACTCCATATAATATACATTTCTAGTATAACGAGCTCAAACTCGGACTCGGGCTTTGCCTACTGATGACAAAGAGGGGTCGTATCAAAGGTTGAAAAGTCTTAGGCGTATCGTTTGTCAAATTGTAATATACATTGTATAGTGTAAACGTTTAAATAAGTTATTATTATTACAATAATAATATCCTTTATGTGACAGAGTTATATTAACTATAATTGTTTTATTTGTTATAATTTATTTCTGAGGTATCATGTTTTATTTGGTAATTGTAAAGTTGTTTCATGTTTAAAACTATTTAGATCGGGATCAATTACCTAATTTTAATCTATGACACCATTGTCTTAATTTACAGCCAATCAGCGTGGCTTCTCCTAATCACGTGACCATTGTTTTATTTTTTACCAAAGGAGAAAGCCACATAAATTTACAAGGAAATTTTTTATCGAAAAAAAGTATTTCCAGTTTGTTTCAAGCAACTTAGGTAGGGTAACACCTTTATACCTTCGCTGTGCTTAGTTTTCAGTGTGATTTGCTAGACATTTCTCCACAGGATAAGAGTTTTGATACGTTTCGATATTAAGTGACTTTTTTTGTTTACGTAAGGTGCGCGATCCGGTTTGAACCGGTTTGGGGAGAACTTGTGTCACAACATGGAAGAGCCGAATTTCCTCAGGATTTGTTTACTTGGACATTCGTTTGTAACTCGTTTACGGCGATATATGGACTCGCATCCAGATTTAATGAACTTAAAGTTGCATCAGGATTTTTACAGTGTTTCAGTGCGGGCCCGTGGTGGTCTACGGATCTCGAGCATCGCTCGTTCCAGAGAATTCTTGACTTTTGATATATTGCCGCACGTGTGTTTTATGCAGATTGGGGAAAACGACATTCTTTTGCATAACAATGAAGTGATTGTACATGACATTCTATCTTTAGCATCGTATCTACATTCCGGAATAGGCATACAAACAGTTATTGTGGGTCAACTTCTGCGCCGCCAACCTTGGGCCTCGTCACCGGACTTCAACGAACGCATCATCGCCATCAATATCATGCTCCGAGAACAGTGCTCAAACATTTCCGGTGTGCATTTCTGGCCTCATAGAGGCTTCTGGACAGATTTGACATTTCTGTGACAGGATAGGGTACATCTCCGATGCCCCTCCCAGTCATCCCATGTTGTGACCACCTCTTCTATGCACCGGTTTTGGCGAAGTGTTCGCTCAGCTATCTTACAGCATAGGCACATTTCAGGCCAGTATCATTCTGCTTAAATTTGCTAGTCTGACCTTGGTTTCAATTGCTTTACATATACATAGCAAAATATTATAACTAAGTATAAACAGTGATTTACTTGATATGTCCTGTTGATTAAGAATTCACCCCCATATTCGGTGATTTACTTACAAGTCATTGGGTGCATGCATTGCATTTGTTTATGTCATAGACTTTAAATTTTATTGCTGTAGTTGCCTTATATAACTGATACATGATGATGATTAGTCAGTTAGTTTGTTTTGGAGTAAATTTAATTCAGCTTTATAGATAAACTTGATTGAAGTAGGCATTTATTTACTCCTGTATATACACTTTGTAAGCAACTTCTCTTTGTATTGTGGGACCATACACATTACGAAATGCTTACTTTGGATGTTGCGGGACCATACGCTTCATCTTGTACAAGTGTATTGTTGTATGTGCATTTTCCTTTGGTGCGGGACCATACCACCTAAGACATGCCTATTTGGTTGTTGTATTGTGGGGCCATACACGTTACACAACTGTTTTCATGTACACTATTTCGCAGTTGATTATGTGGTGATGTTGCGGGACCATACGCATTATCATTTTATGACTGCACATGTATTGATTGTTTGTTACAGTTTAATGTTGCGGGGCCATACGCAACAACATGCTTATATGATATAAACTATTTCATTTTCATATGCACTTTTTCCTCTATGAAGGATCAAGCACACTTTATTTCAATATTTGTTCATGTTGGTCTTAATCGTGTGTATCATCCACATATGACATTACTGTTTACTGAGCTATATTTCTGTAAATGGATATATTCATATCCAACTGTTGTGGGACCACACGCAACATCTACCTAAAATATTTCTATGAAGGATAGCTTCTTGTCTTTGTATTAGTTTGTAATCTTCTACTATGTTTAACTAGCTGAAAAATAATATCTTAAAATTGGGTCAGACTAGCTTTAAATTCTCCTTTGGTGTTGTTCTATTTTCAGCATTTATATTATTGGGTATGATAATAACATTTATATAATGTTTATCCCTTACCCTCTCATTAATCAAAATTAATATTTTGCAGTATTGAAGCTGTTTATTTTTTACATTTGTAATGTGTCCATGGTCACATGTATCTAATGCTATATATAAATATATACATGTGTATGTAAAAATTTATAAAGTTGTTCTGCTGGGGCTGTTTGGACATTTTAGAATTATTTCATTGAATAATTTTTAATTGCTTTCATTATACTTTATTGTTCAGGTGTACAGCCATGCCTCCAAAGAGGGGACAAAAGTCCGCAACTACCACAACAACCAAGAGGCGGAAGGCAATCCAATTCACAGATGTAACTCAAGCCGCACCACTACAACTGCCACCTGTGGAACCACCTGCGCAAAATGAAATCTTAAATATTGACTATGACAAGTTAGCTGCAACTATTCTAAAGCAATCACATGCACACAATGGACTAAGTCTTCAACCTCAAGAGGCCCCTTCAGTGCCAGCAGCTACTTCTCATTCATCTGAAACATTACCAAAATCTACAGCAGATCCACAATCATCTTCAGTACCAGGTCCTTCATCTCAACAACCTTCAGCTCAGCAACCTTCAACTCAGCAACTTTCAGCTCAGCAACCTTCAGCTCAGCAGCCAACAAGCAGTGTGTCAAGTTCAACACCAGTCTTGGGGACTCTGTTAGATCAAGTTTTTGCAGGTGAGCCAGCAAGGGCTTCTGATCTTCCTTACTCATCTACTATCGTTAGTGATGGCATTCCCCTTGGGTCTTCAGTTTCTAGCAAACTTAAGTCAAAAATTTGGAATAATGAATTCATTGATTTCCAATCCCTGCAAAATACAAGAGAAGAACCTTTGAGTGTTTCAATTTCCACGGGGGTCATCAAATTACACCAAAGTCCAAAATTTAAAAGCCCCATATCTATCTCTCAATGGACAGATGCATTCTTTGTGTTTTCGGCAGTTTACATAGAAAAATACCCTGCTGAAGCCCCCAATCTTTTAAAATATGGGCACATGGTAAGAGAAATTCAACAACTTCATGGGGACAATGCATTTCGCTCATACGATGAGCAGTTTAGGAAACTTAAAGAGAGTGTTAATGTACCATGGCAACAACCTATTCAGGAGTTAAGGCTGAAGGCAGCCACACTATCAAAAGCTTTCCCTGTCAAACAATCCAACAATCAAACCCAGCCCTTTCGAGTTAGGTTTTGTTTCCAATACAATAGAGGAGAACGTTGTAGTAAAAACCCCTGCCCCTTTCGGCACACCTGCATGCAATGTAAAGGATACCACCCCAAGTCTAAATGCACGGATTCAACCAAATCCAGCATGCAGAATTCCCAACCAAGAGCTCCCAACTCCAATCAAAATAAAAAATCTACTTGAAATTCTGCAAGGCTATGACAAAGACAAACTCTCAGTTATCAAAAATGGATTCACCTATGGTTTTCACTTAGGCTGTAAAGGCATGCCAGTTTCAACAATATCTAGGAATCATAGAAGTGCACTCGAACATCCTTCTGTTATTCAGGAATTTATTAATTGTGGTATAGAATCGGGGCGAATAGCTGGGCCCTTCCCCTCTCCACCATTTCCCCAGTTTGTTTCTTCTCCTTTAGGTGTTGTACCTAAATCAGAACCTGGTAAATTCCGTGTAATCCATGATCTCTCTTTCCCAAAACATAACTCTGTAAATTTTATGATACCTGAGGAAAATTCAAAAGTGAAGTATGACTCTTTAGATGTTGTAACAGACCTACTTAGAGAATTTGGTCACGGCGCATTAATGGCTAAAACAGACATTCAGGATGCCTTCCGCATAATTCCAATTCATCCTGATGATTACAAACTCTTAGGATTTTCTTGGAACAATAGGTTCTACCATGATAAGTGTCTACCAATGGGTGCAAGTAGTTCGTGTCAGATCTTTGAATGTCTTAGTAGCAGTTTGCATTGGGTAATGTGCGAAAAATTTTCTGCCTCTGGAATGTCTCATATGTTGGATGATTTTTTCTTTATCGGTCCAAAGGGTTCCTCTAAATGTCAAGCTGATTTAGAGAAGTTCTTGTCTATTTGTGAACAATCGGGCATACCAATCAAAGAAGAAAAAACAGTTACTCCCACCACTGTTATAACCATATATGGGATTGAGATTGACTCTAATACATTGTTATGTCGTTTGCCTGAAGCTAAACTTAACAAAGTCAGAGACAGTTTACAAGCCGCAAAATGTAGGAAGAAAATAACTTTACATGACCTACAATCTTTGATAGGTTTGCTAAATTTTGCGTGTTTAGTTGTTGTTCCAGGGCGAACCTTTTTGCGGCGCCTCATTGACTTAACGTGTGGGGTCTCTAACCCTAATCATTACATCCGCTTGACATGTGAGGCTAGGGCAGACTTGCATATGTGGTCACATTTTATAGAATCTTATAATGGCAGGTCAGTTATACTTCCCGATGTTTGGTCGTCTTCTGATAAAGAAATGTTATTTACTGATGCTTCAGGCTCATTAGGTTTTGCAGCAGTTTTGGGGACCAGTTGGTTTGCTTTAAGTTGGGAGGAAGTTCTAGATTTAGCACAATATCAGATAGCGATAAAAGAACTGTTTCCCATCGTGTTAGCACTGGAAATTTGGGGTCCTGCTTTAGCTAACAAAAAGATCCTATTCATGACTGACAACATGGCCATAGTACACACCATTAATAAACAAACTTGTAAAGACAAAATTCTTATGAAGTTGATCCGCAGATTAGTTCTAACAGCACTTTCCCACAACATCCTTTTTAGAGCGAAACATATTGCAGGCAAGTCAAATACTCTGGCTGATCATCTTTCACGCTTTAAATTGCAGGAAGCCTTCCAGATAGCTCCTCATCTCAGTCCAGTACAGACAGAAGTTCCAAAGGACCTCTTAACAATTTGAATCCAGTTTGCCTGAAACTACTAGAATCGTCTCTGTCATCATCAACCTCTAAAGCTTATCGCCGAAGTTGGAATTTGCTCCTTACGTGGAACCCTCATATCTCTCTTCCAATGTCTGTGACAGATGTTTGTAACTTTATAGGTCATCTATTTCTTCAAAATTACTCACCCAGTACAATTTTTTCCCACATATCAGCTATCAGTTTTATGCATAAATTATGTAGTATCCCAGACCCTACTCAAGCCTTTGTGACCAAGAAAATTCTTAAAGGGTGTCAGGCAGTAGGCTCAAAAAGAGACACACGCTTGCCTATCACAGCACCGATCTTACAAAAACTCATTGTAGCTCTAGAACACACTGTGTCTCAATACTCACTCAGACTCCTGTTGCGAGCACTTTTCTTGTTAGCTTTTCATGCTTTTCTCAGATTAGGTGAGATAACAGCAAAATCAATGAATGCTGTAAATGGTGTTTTACAAAGGTCAGATATCACATTCAAGCAAGAAAATAATCTATTAGAGGGAGTTCAAATAGTTATGAGAGATTATAAAACAAACAAACATCATGTCCCAATAATCATTTCCTTACAAGCTTGTCCCAATTCCCTTTACTGTCCCGTTCAGGCATTGTATAAATACCTTGCCTTGTATAAACATTCATCCGGTCCACTGTTCCAGACCATGGATGGCTTGCCAATTACTTACTCGGTTGTTACTTCACACCTCAAAGCAGCAATTCAGTTTATTGGATTAAGTCCAGATCAATTTAAGGGACACAGTTTCAGAATTGGGGCAGCAAAACATGCAGCCTCACTTGGTTTCTCAGACAATGTCATTCAGAAGCTTGGAAGGTGGAATTCTGATGCTTTCAAACACTACATCCGTATTCAGTCTTTTCATATATAGCTAATTGTACAAGTTCAGATTTCAGTGCATATCCCTGTGTTAGTTCCCCATATCGATAGGTTTTAAAACTTTAAGACAGTTCAGAAGTATTCTGCTGTCACAAATAACCACATAGACTTTGAAGAGCAGAGGAAAGTTGTCTGCTGCTCATATTCGGATCAGTCATATTATAGGAGACAGTTCAGAAGTTTTCTGCTGTATTTTATTCCCAGTTCCTATCCATAATTTTTTAGGAATACACGGCAGTTCAGAAGTCTTCTGCTGCCTAAAAGTTATTATTCAGCATGTAAGTTCAGAAGTCTTCTGCTGACATATTTTTCAGTCTTTTTATATTTGTACATATCATCGTAGGTATATAGTCATAGGCATAGGATATAGTCATTTTTTAAAGGGCATATTGAATATAGTTTCCTTGCTGGCCACCACATGCTCTCAATGTCAAATAACAAAATGTTTTATATTGAACTATTGTTCATTACCTAGGGTTGTATTATATTGTCATTTTTGATACTCATGCGTTTCTTTTCTAATTTATTATTTGACATGAACGTTAAATGTACTATAAACAATCGTCTCAAATTATAAATTGCGCCTTGCCAAGTCGCCTTGGGTGGGTGGATCCAATTTGCAATTGGATTGTGGCGTTTATTTTCTTTTAACCCACCCTTTTTTGATGACAGGCATATCAGTGCCTGCTTTATGATATATGTAATTTTAGGGGGTCAGATTGCATAATGTTACCAAAGATTTTTGTATTCTTTCAAAGTTTGTTCTAGTCTTGTCTGACCCCCTTATAATATGTTTATATTTTGTTTTGCGTCATTTACTTCAATAAATGACATTTTTTCACTTTCACTACTGTTGTTATTTTAATTTTAATCCATCAAAAAACTAGCTCAGTTGACTTGGTTTCGGTCTTGCATAATAACAGAGGAACATAAATAAGTTATTATTATTACAATAATAATATCCTTTTTGTGACAGAGTTATATTAACTATAATTGTTTTATTTGTTATAATTTATTTCTGAGGTATCATGTTTTATTTGGTAACTGTAAAGTTGTTTCACGTTTAAAACTATTTAGATCGGGATCAATTACCTAATTTTAATCTATGACACCATTGTCTTAATTTACAGCCAATCAGCGTGGCTTCTCCTAATCACGTGACCATTGTTTTATTTTTTACCAAAGGAGAAAGCCACACAAATTTACAAGGAAATTTTTTTATCGAAAAACCCTCCATCCATCCCCCTTTCTTCCACCGTCTTATATTATATTTGTTATATATGTACTTATATTAGTATTCATATTTATTTGTTTGGCGTTTATTTTCTTTTAACCCACCCTTTTTTGATGACAGGCATATCAGTGCCTGCTTTATGATATATGTAATTTTAGGGGGTCAGATTGCATAATATGTTACCAAAGATTTTTGTATTCTTTCAAAGTTTGTTCTAGTCTTGTCTGACCCCCTTATAATATGTTTATATTTTGTTTTGCGTCATTTACTTCAATAAATGACATTTTTTCACTTTCACTACTGTTGTTATTTTAATTTTAATCCATCAAAAAACTAGCTCAGTTGACTTGGTTTCGGTCTTGCATAATAACAGAGGAACATAAAACACTTTAAATGTCTTACCTTCATTAAATTAGATAGGCGTAATATATATTAACCTTTGAGTGTTAATAAGATAATCTATTCAACATGAAAATTGTCTCGCATCCCTAAAGTATCCTTATATCCATGACGAGCTCGAGTTAGCAAATTCTGGAAATGTCTAATCAGAACACCCTGTGTATGTATCAGCATGGGATGCCGTAATTTCGCGTCATTGAAATTGTGAACTGATCAGGCTGAGAGGAAGCATAATAAAAAAGAGAAAATAAAGGTTTAAGTATTACTGAGGTAAGGTATATTGTTGATGGTGACCATATCATACATTGATTCAATATTTGACTTATTTAAGGTAGGACACAAAAGATAGGCCAAATTTTTCCTCAAATTCAATTTTTCTGAAACTTTGATATTTTGTTCTAGGATACAAAATTTCTCTTAATATATAATATGAAAGAAATTCAACCACACATTTTTCGCCCACATAGTCTGAAATATGGCCTATCAGACCCCGTAAGAAGATTGTGAAATCAGACACACGCCTTGAGAACGACCCTTATTTTAGAATTATCAATTGATCTATTGCAAGTTTGTGTTCTAATTTTGATAAAGATAACATTTTGGTTACTTTAACTTAGTAAGTCATATTGATACTGGACCATTTGAGAAAAATATTAATTAAAAATAAAACAAATATAGCATCGGAATTGAAAATTCACATGTACTCGTAAATATCCTGCACACAAAGTTTTCTAAAGAAAAAATATATAATTCAATTTTTGCAAAAAATTAACAATGATTAAAATGGATCCCAGAATAAAATGTGTAACGTGTCGGACCTTAGCGGTCAGAAGGTCCGTACTCGGATTACCGAGTTTTACTGGGGGTATGATTAATGCAATATATACAGATAATATGACACTTGCCTAGTGTTTTTAGCTCTACTGGTCAGAGACCAGAAGAGCTTATGCGATAGTAATGCGTCCGTCCGTCCGTCCGTCTAGCTGTCTGTCTGTCTGTCTGTAAACAATTTTTCAAAATGCTACTCCTCCTACAGTTTTGGTCTAATTTCAATATAACATGGCAAACTAGTAGACTACACTAAGATACATAATTCTATGAATCGGTTTTTGATTTCGATAAACGGTGTTGCCGTGGTTTCTTAAAAATAGAAATTTCTGTGAAATTCTTTCAAAATGCTTCTCCTCCTACAGTTTTAGTCTGATTTCAATATAACTTGGCACAAAAGTAGACTACACTAAGATACATAATTCTGTATATCGGTTTTTGATTTTGATAAACGGTGTTGCCGTGGTTACTAAAAATAGAAATTTCTGTGAAATTCTTTCAAAATGCTATTCCTCCTGATTTCAATATAACTTGGCACACAAGTAGACTACACTAAAAACATAAAGAGTCTTTATCAAAGATCATTATTCTATTTATTGCTGTTGTAAAGTTTCAATTCCCAACTGCTTAAGTACTTTTTTCTTCCTTTGTATAAGTACAAACCAGTAGAGCTTCAGTCTCGACAGAGACTTCTGGTTAAATCAAGTGACCTAACTGCCTTTATGTTATATATATATATACAATAATACTGGCACCTGCCTGGTGCCTTGTGACAGTTGCCTGAATGAATAACTAACTAAACAAGTCAACAGACACCTGCCTGGTGTCTCCTGACTACTGGTCTTCTGTGTTGACACCTGCCTGGTGTCTTCTACTAACCAGTTGGTCAGTACACTATATATGCAGCCAAGTGGCTCTAATATATTTATACAATACAGCTTTGCTACTTTTCTTGCCACTGGTTGTTCTACCTTCAACCCACTAACACACTTCAAGTAACTTAGTCAGCGACTATTACCAGTTGCCCACACCAGACTGTGAGCAGCTAATTCTTCTATGCTATAAGCTTAACGGCAAATAGAGAAACACCGACATCTTACGAACGAACGTAACCAAAAACGGGGATCAGTCATTGTAGTCTATTGTATTCACGCTTGCATTATTGAATTCATCTATTTTATTGGGATTTCGATGGATAAAATCCCCACAAGATACCTCAAAGCCACGTCTTGTCGTAGTCACCACTGTGATGCTATACAATACATTTCAATGGACATTTAAACGAGCAAAGGGGTTCGAGAAGGGAAATGGAAGGAAAATTTTAAAAATGTCATTCAGTGGCATGAAATAAAAAATAATAGTAAGTGCGCATCTAGTAGGGGTCGAAGGGAGGGGGGTACTTTACGAAGGGCGGTCGGGACAATAAGGAGTTATGGTCTAAAACTTAATTGCAAAAACCCAAAAACTTTAAAGAAATTCTCGTTCAAAGTACAATAAACTTAATATGGCTTTAATATACAAGGTATTATAGCCATATTATGAATCCAGGGGGACGCCCGTTCGTAATTCGTCGGTTGATAAAGCTGTTTCTTACAAACATGTATCTTAAAAAATCTTCATATAATTCTCACGGGTGCTGGTGGGCAGGAACCCCCCCCCCCCTTAACATCCCAGACCCAAAGCTATCTTTTAATTAACTGTTTTAATTTAACTGTAAAAACTCTAAGGTTTCTCGAGATATTGCTTAAAACAAAAGTGTAACAGACGGACAGAATTATAAGACCGAAATTAATTATCCCAAACTTTCGGGGGGGGGGGAGGTTGCAAAAAATGGAAGTTAAGTGAATTGTGTTTTTGACATCATTTAAGATATATGAGAGCAAGTTCCATATTAGCATGCCATCATAGGACCTATGCCCCCCCCCCCCACCTCCCCCAATCCCTGGAATATATATATAAATCCGGGTCCAAAGATGTTTTTGGCTTTCTTTCATTAAATTATAATTAATAACATTTACAATTTACAACATACAAAATTGATACTTGCAGTTAAAAAGTTAGAAGTGATTTAAGATACTACGGCCATGTTTTTTTTTAATAAAAAAGTTAATTCTATGTACTTTTTTGATTGTTCATTTGAAATACATTGTAAATATGTACACTGTACTAGAGGTTAATTTATGAAAAAAGACAAATTTGAATATCTTGGGACCCGGTATATATGTATTTTGGAGGTGGGTATGGGGAGGTTGGTCTGGTCTCCAAGCACTTGTGATAAGCGTATGTGTGTTCATACTTTTGAAGGATACCATGAAAACTAAGTGACAACAACGTTTTCATATTATTCACACTTTCAAAAGTCCGGTATCTTTTTGTCGATATTCTGGAATCAATCTTTTTCCTTTTACAACAAGATAGTGAATATATTTTCCTTTCAAATGAAGCAAGTCATAATTTCGGTTATAGTTTTTAGCTCTACTGGTCAGAGACCAGAAGAGCTTATGCGATAGTAATGCGTCCGTCGTCTGTCTGTCTGTCTGTCTGTCTGTAAACAATTTTTCAAAATGCTACTCCTCCTACAGTTTTGGTCCGATTTCAATATAACTTGGCACACAAGTAGACTACACTAAGATACATAATTTTATGCATCGGTTTTTGATTTCGATGAACGGTGTTGCCGTGGTTACTAAAAATAGAAATTTCTGTGAAATTCTTTCAAAATGCTACTCCTCCTACAGTTTTGGTCTGATTTCAATATAACTTGGCACACAAGTAGACTACACTAAGATACATAATTCTGTGCATCGGTTTTTGATTTCGATGAATGGTGTTGCCGTGGTTACTATAAATAGAAATTTCTTTGAAATTCTTTCAAAATGCTACTCCTCCTACAGTTTTGGTCCAATTTCAATATTACTTGGCACACAAGTAGACTACACTAAAATACATAATTCTGTGCATCGGTTTTTGATTTCGATGAACAGTGTTGCCGTGGTTACTAAAAATAGAAATTTCTTTGAAATTCTTTCAAAATGCTACTCCTCCTACAGTTTTGGTCCGATTTCAGTATAACTTGGCACACAAGTAGACTACACTAAGATACATAATTTTATGCATCGGTTTTTGATTTCGATAAACGGTGTTGCCGTGGTTACTAAAAATAGAAATTTCTGTGAAATTCTTTCAAAATGCTCTTCCTCCAACAGTTTTGATCCAATTTCATTATAACTTGGCACACAAGTAGACTACACTAAGATACATAATTCTGTGCATCGGTTTTTGATTTCGATGAACGGTGTTGCCTTGGTTACTAAAAATAGAAATTTCTGTGAAATTCTTTCAAAATGCTACTCCTCCTACAGATTTGGTCCGATTTCAGTATAACTTGGCACACAAGTAGACTACACTAAGATACATAATTTTGTGCATCGGTTTTTGATTTCGATGAACGGTGTTGCCGTGGTTACTAAAAATAGAAATTTCTGTGAAATTCTTTCAAAATGCTACTCCTCCTACAGTTTTGGTCTGATTTTGATATAACTTGGCATACAAGTAGACTACACTAAGATACATAATTCTGTGCATCGGTTTTTGATTTCAATGAACAATGTTGCCATGGTTACTAAAAATAGAAATTTCTGTGAAATTCTTTCAAAATGCTACTCCTCCTGCAGTTTTGGTCTGATTTCAGTATAACTTGGCACACAAGTAGACTGTACTAAGATACATAATTCTGTGCATTGGTTTTTATTTTGATGAGTGGCAAGGATCATTTTTCTATTTATTGCTGATTTAAAGTCTCAAGTCCCAACTGCTACTTTTCTCTTCCTTTGTTTTAAGTATAAACCAGTAGAGCTACAGTCTCGACAGAGACTTCTGGTTATATGTATATTGGACCTTCGGACAAAATAACTCTGTGTGTGGTCAAAAGTATATAAAGTGTATCTTCTAATTTTATATTTTGACGATAAATGCATGGTTAACAAACAATGACATAGTGGAGCATAACTTTAAGACAAAGAAAAGAACTTTACTAAAAAAATGCACCACCCTACATAAATGCATATT